AAGGCAGAATCAGTACAGCAATACAAATCTATAACAAAGAAGGCTAAAAAGAAAAGCATCTTGTGTGAAGAAGTTTAAACTCTTTGAATAATGGCGGAAGCAAATAAAATAAATAAAAAATCTAGTGTATTTTCTGTTGTGGGAGTTAAATAAAGTTGATTTAATCAGCTCTGTTCCCAGATCATAATTCAAGTCAAACTTCTCCAGAATAAGGCTCATATTTGCTTTTGTCTGCTGCTATTTGAAGCCTCTCAGTGATAAGAATTGGTGCAAATAAACCTTTCACCCACCTGCCAACCACATGCCAACTCTGTTTACCCTGTGTTTTTGAGAAATGATAGAGAAAATAAGGGGAATGTATTGAAAGTTACCTTTTAGGTGGAGTTTAGAGTATCATTGTCCCTATCTGTTATGAGTGTCAGGTAGAAGCAGCTTGTATTTACAGCATAAAGGGAATTGTTTAGGTACAAGCAGATTTAGGACTTAAGATTGTGTATTTTGGCTGAATCTACAAGGTTTTGTTTTAGGTAAAGGAGGATGGTCACTGGCAGTCTGTGGGTCAAAGAGGAAACTCTGCCTGAGCCCTGTTGGGAATGCAGTATTCAATTAAGACATGACTAAAAATGTAAGTGACATGTCTGGGGTTCCTGTTATCTTTTATCTCAAGCGGGCTCCTATTTTAAACACAGACGAGCCCCCCTGACCAGCATAGTGGCAAACCCCCAGTATTCAGCCTCTCAACGCAGCACAGCTCTGGCATGTGTCCACAGAGGCAGCGCTATAATCACTGCCTAATGTTTGCGCACCAATGAGCGGAGGAAGAACACAGATGTACACTGGTGCTGTTGGTGGTTGCCAGTTTACTCCTGCATGAAGGGAGAGCTGGACACAGCTAGTTCACCCGTGGTACGAGCTAACGGTGCTATAATTCAGGCCTGGCCATATTTAGGCAGGTCTCTGTGCTGTGTAAACAGAGCTTAGTGCTGAGGGGAGGGCTCACTCCTGCACTCGTGTCCATCTACAGAGCTTGCAAATAGCTCCGTTGAGAAGGGTTATGAAGAATCTTAAGCTGTAAAAGTAAAAGTAGATCTGGAGAATTTAGAGACACCAACAAGTGTCTCTGAGTATGCAGGGCCTCATTACAAGGCATACTTGAGAGATATTTAATTCCCTTGAAAAATGCTGCTGCTTTGAGATGGACAAACAACCTGTCAGGACTGTGAGGGTAGGAGACCAGTGTTTGTGTTGAACTCCAGCAGCATGAGTGAGACGCTCTCAAAAAGCCCTGGGGAAGCTGGATCCTTTCCTCTCAGCAGCTCTCAGCCCATCAGGCTGAAACCGCAGTCAACGTCCGGATCGCCCTGTGGATCCCCGAGGTTGTCCCCCTGCAACTCCCCTCGAAACTCCCCCCGGCACTCTCCTCTGCTGTTCAGGAAGCTCCTCATGAACCGCAGCATCGCCCTGCAGCGGCGCTTCACCTTGGCACACACACCCAGGTAGTATTAATGATGAGAAGCCTTTGGTGTGGATATTACATGATCAGAATGTACTGGGCAGGCCTACAGAAGTTGTAGTACATACTGTAGTGTGTAGATGATATGACTATGAATCAACCGATATAGCTTAAAATAAATCCCGAATTCAGTACACAAGGATGCTAATTTCAGGATCGATTTCTGTCTGCTGGGCTGTGGTAAATCATGAATTGAAAGCAGAGTTTTTTAGTTTTTTTAAGTGAAATCAACCATTTGCTATAATGTTTGGATATGTTAAGAATGAAAGATAACATATTTAACCCTATGACCCTAACCCTTTTGAAAGGTTGCAAAAATAAACAATGTTTTCTAAAATGTTTTAAGTATTAGTAAATATCACTGACACCAAGAATAAGTTCATTTTATACAAAAAATAAAAACCTCCTTGTTAGATCAATACGCTGTATTTCTATTTTTTTTAAACTTGCTAAATTTAAGAAATACATTCTATACATAATAACACAATAAGGCTTGTTTAGGATTACTGTCCATCAGTTGTGATATTTAAGTTCTTTATTGAATTAAAAATATATATATATTTTTAAGTGAATTAAAGGTGGATCGATTAAGAATCTTATCAATTTTTGCCCCACCATTGATAGATAAGACAAAGTGATTTTGAAGTTACGATTCAGAGGTTAATTCAGAGTCTGAACTTGAATAAACTCAAATTCATTTAGGGAGTGAAAGGTAAAGGGCATGTTTCAGTACTGAAGCTGCTTTTTCACGTCATCAAATGTTTGTCATGGGTTTGCTGGGGAGAAAAAAAAGGCCCATTGTCTGATGAGAAGGTAACTGTGGGAAATCATGATTTTGTTGACGTCGGGACCTGTGTTGTCTCAAAGGCCCTCGTTGTTCTCGAAATGAAAGAGCAGTTCTTGTTCCTGCCTCAGGTGTTCAGCACTGCATTCAGCAGGCCTGGCATCAGTCTAAAAGTGGGGAGAAAAGATCCTATAGCCGGTCTGCTTGGCTCTGACCTGAGGTTTTGGCCAAGACACACAGCAGCATGTGTCTCTTTTACGTCAGAACAGACCTAGCAAATTCAATTTAGTAACAACAATGCTTGGATTTGTAATTCATTTCTTAAATGTTTACATGTTTTCTCTAGAACTGTATCGTGAGAGATTAAAGTCATTTCTGAACAAAACAGAACCTAAAGTTTAGATGTCAACATGTCATTTTCAGATTTTTAAAATACAAATGACTGTGCGAGAAGAGCTGTGTTGGCGGGTAGTGACGTATGAAATTGATTTTCCATGAACACAACCATGACCCGTAGGTCAGTTAAAAGAAATTAGATAAAGCTGCATGGAAGCAAATCCCCCTGCTGCCTAATGCCCTCTGTTTTCAGTCTTGTCCGAAGCACATTGTAAAAACAATGTTAGGGTGAGGAAAATACAAGTCACAAGTGTAAAGTGTTGTTTGTCGGCAACTGTTTGATTGAGATAATGTAGAAAATGATTTATTCAGCTTAACAGCTCTTCCTTTTTGTAAAACCACAATGATCTGAGTAATCTGCATGTAATTGTTGCACTTACAGGCAACTGTTTCATCTGAAGATTTCCTTAATACTGATAAATAACATTATTTCCCACAGCTATGTCAAAAATGCTTTCTCCATGAGGCTGAGGAGATCCTTTTAATGTGGCTGCAAGCTTTGTGCAACACTACTTTGTTTATTTTACTGTGGTTTTTAAAGATAAATCTTCTCATTGTAAGTTTGATATACATAATTCTTAGTAAACCTTTGAAAACCCAGGGGTATATTGTTATAAAAATATGATGTAGTACTGGTTAAGTGCATACAGCGTACCTCAGACATACACACCTTTGCTTCAGCTCATTACTCCTCATTCATCCAGTTATTGCTCGAGCACGCTCAACCAACACATTTCTTATTAAACTCTGATGAGAAAAGTTCCCCTGTTAATAAAACTCACTGCCAGTTTTTAGAGTAAAGCAATTAAAGTTGAGCCAAACCAAATTTCACCAGGTGTGTCAAAGATTAAAATCAACTCATTATTTTATGACTGGCAATCTCCCTGGCAAGTAAATAGCAATATACTGTATGAGACTGGCTCACAGAGGAAAGGCTTCTAACGTTCACATCAGCATTCAGGCGGTAACCTGTAGTACCAACAAACATCTTTATGCCTTCTTAAATACTTATGTTTGCATATTTATCAGATTATATAATTATCAATTCATTATTGTCATTTTCTAAAAGTAATTTAGGATGAAACTGAATGCTGCGTAACTCGTATTGTAGAGCAAAATCTTAACATTTTCGTTAAGGTTGTATTCTTTTTTGGGCATTTTTGCTTTTATCAGACCGAGGACAGTAGGGATGTGACTGGAAAGGAAGGTAGAAGGACCAGATCGAGGTCAAGGATGTCATGGTATATGGTCAGTCAGTGTACAAGAAATAGGGCAAACTTAATTAGAGTGCACTTTTACTGCCCTTAAGTGCTGCAAAATATCGTTATAAACACAACGTATGTATTAGATATAAGAACAAAACTGCAATTTTCAAATTATGAAATGACCACTCCCTAATCAGATTTAGTGCTGTTCGATTTTCGTCGCAATTTTTTTACATTGTAATTGTTTATCGCAATGATTGGTTGATATATTATTTCATCGTGATATTATCCCATATAAATCCATATTTAATTATTGCCCTGCCGTAGTGTTAGGCTGTTATATTCCACTCATAGTTCGTCTATTCATCCTAGTGTTACCCTCAGTCTGTTGTTATTAGTATGAGGTACTTCACATTAATGCACCGACCACATGACAAACAAGTTATACCACATTTGGAATATAATCACGTATTTCTATAAAGCATCCTCTTTTTAGTTTGCAGTTTCACATAATGCTCAGGGAAGTGGTTGTGGCTGCTTTGACTGTCGCCTCATAACAAGTGTCCCTCTAAAACTGAACATTTGTAATTCTTGTTGTTAACCCACTTTAGTATTGTGATATAAAATATTGTGATACTTTATCGATTTAAAAACACTTTATTGATTTTCTATTATACGCAAATATTTGACACACACTCTTCAACTTCAAGGCTTTATTGTCCTTTGCACATTAGCTACAGGGTAGATATGGCAATGAAACATTTAGATCATACTGTAGGCTCCTCCAACATTGCAACATATATATAGGACAGAACAAATAAAACAGATAATATTAAATAATAGTGCAAGAAGAGTCTATATACAAGTACATTGAATATGATATATTAGATAATATTAGAACACACACACACACACACACACACACACACACACACACACACACACACACACACACACACACACACACACACACACACACACACACACACACACACACCTCTCTCGCCCAGATCCAACACTAACAATATCCTCCTGTAATTATGCGGCTGCAGGGCATCAGAAGGAGGTGTCGGTCAGGTGGCCCGTTGGTCTCACATGTCAAGGCCCGCTCTGCCAGACACAAAAACAGCCGCCAGCCACGCTGTACAGTCAGATCTTCCTTTAATAAGTTGAGACACACACAAGTGTTGCTTTCTAACTGTTGGAGCACGTTCAGTGTCTCAAAGCTCAGAAAGAGTCAACACTCAATGGTTTGTCTTAAACATCTGGATAAAAGATCAGCCTTTAACTTGACAGCGAAACTTTAACGTTGAGCTCTTTCACATTTATCTTGGATATCCTGCTCAACACGGACTCTGGGGTCGAGTTGGGCTGTCCTCAGGGGACTCTGCATGCTCTCTCACTGCCGGAGGAAGAAGTCAACCCTCGCTCACTCTACCCTGCAGTATCATTTGAACCCTTCCCCTTTCCTGCGAGCGGAGTGAGTGACTGACAGAAATAACAGAGCTGCTTTGAAAGTTTAAGACTTCTCTTCGGATCTTCTGTACAATTCGGAGCTATGCTACTAAACACCCTTTCAGAAATGCAGTGAATGTCACGTGTGGGGTTAGATTGCGTATTTAGAACGACAACAAATCAGTAGGAGAGGAGAAACAACTGAGGAAAGTCTTCAGATACAACAGCTCCCTCTCTGCTTCTTCCTTCTGGAGAGACCAATTGGACATCACACTTCTGCCTTGTTGAGGCTTGCCTGGGACCTTAGTGGTACAACCCTGCAACATTCCTCAAAATGTTTCCTGAATCCAGAGGCTCTGAGGATTAATGCAGATCTGTCCTCTATCGGACTGGGTTTTCTTTTCATTTCTCACCTGGAACCTTCCTGTGTTCGCAGTACAAAAGCTCATGGAGTCAATCCAGAACCACCCGCCTGTTCATGGGAGAAAAAAAACAGACTGAGTTGTGAAGTTTCAGAATCCACAGGAGGCTCGGTTCAGATGTTCAGGTTATTTTCTTTACAGCCCAGAGTGTCTCTTATGAGTCAGGAGCTCACGGGACAATGAACAAAGACCTGGCACTGGCAAGGAAAGGGGCGCCAACTGTTTTCGGGCACGGTCGGAGACACTCGTGCTTGGGGTATGTTCACAAACTTTGCATCCTGTATCTCTTTCAGCGCTCATATTCATGAGAGGGAGTGTTCATGCATGCTGCAGAGTACATCTGCTACGTTAGCTACAAATAGCTACAATTGACAAGGAGAACTGGCATATTTTAGCTAATGGTAAGACATACGCTTGTTCAAGTGAGTGAGATGATTAAATGTGGAAACACCTAGCGTAGGTTGCAACCCGTGCATACACTGCAATTCCCTAATAATAAGTAATTATAGAAACTATAAACAAAATGTTGGTTCATGTGAAAAAAACATAAACTTAATCAGATGTTGGTGTCAGTCTGCAGAATCTAAGAGCAGGTGATCTTGTCTAAAGTTGCCCCGGAACACGCAGAGAGAGTTTTACTTTGGTTTTCCTTTTTGCTCCCGCACAACTTTCTGAGACATTTCATTGATGCTAGTGTTGTGTCATATGGATGGATGGTAGAGATGTTAATGACTTACAAACATTCACGTCATCAGACAGTTTTATAATTGCAGTGTTGGTCTGATGAGGTTCAAAATACTTTTTACAATTTGGGTTTAATTACCTTGAATGACGCACTTTGGCTGACACAAGCTGTTCAAGCTGGTTTGGTTTCCCAGTTGTTATTGCCAACTGGATTTTGACTTTATGCTTTTTACCAGACAAAACTGTATGTGTTTTAACATTGCAGTAAATCATGCATTGTAGCTGAAATAATAAAGGCAAGTTGGTGTGAAATGGGTTTATCAATTTGGTAAGGAACTGAATTGTCTTCATCATGGTGAAGAAACATAACAGTAAAAGAGGATCTGATGAGAAATGTTCAACAGGACCTTTAGTTATAATTATTTTATATATATTGCTATGGTAAGTCTGTACAGTAGAAAGAGTGTGCTCATACAGTGAGAAGTGTGTCTCTCAGCAGCCTGAGCTTCGGGGCCAGTGTGTGACTTGGTGGTTTTTTAGCTGCTCTTTGGTTTTTTTCATGCTGGCACTTTACCCAACGTTTTTGAGAGGAAGTGAGTTTTGTTTGTGGCAAGTTTCATTCAACAGACTTCCTGTTTTTGCTAAAAGTCTCCCAGAGACGTTTTTCAGCACGATGACCCTGAGAAAAAGCTGCTGTCTGAACACAGAGTACTGAAGCCAGTGTTTGTGTTCAAGCTGTTTAAAAGCACATGCACATACACATGCACATCTTTACAAGTGCTGTTCCTCAATTTGTGAACAATGCATTTTTCTCTGACAATGTGTGTACATGAGTGTGTGTTGTACATGGTCGTGAGTGTGTGAGCAGAGGGAGGGTGTTGGTGGACGGATAGCCCCGCCTGTTGTTGCTGACTCATGTTACACTGACGATAAACGCACCCGGCCTTCTGTGTGTTTATGTCAACCATTAAGCACATGCATGTTTCCATTGCATGCATGTTTGAATGTTTTTCAATCTGTTCCAGTGTCTTTTCTTTGTGTCCTTGTGTGTACACGCTTCGTGTCCTCAGTACTGATACACACTAAACTGGGATTGATGGGCAGCATCTACACTGTGTTGCTGGGTCACTGGTTGGCTCGCCCCCCCCCCCCTCCCCCCCCCACAGCACGACCACAAACACAGGCCACACATTCACCGTCACACACAGCAGGAACCATCGAGTTAAAGTAGAGGGAGGAACCATAACTTGTTTGGCAAATTTCCTTGACACAGATGTAGACTTTACTCTATGTGTGGCTAGTAGCACCTGTGGTTGTTGATTTTATTAATTGAATGAACCTTTTGAAAAACACCAAGTCCTTTCTGCCACTTTCAATTGTGGAAAATCAATACCTACTGTACTGGGTTTTGACCAAAATCAAAACACATTAGTATGAATTTGAAATGTCAAAGGCAAAGTCTTATTGAGCATTCATGATTTAAAGTGCCTCTCTATACCAATGATATGATATCAATATTGCATTCAGCATTTATTTTCTGTAAATTGTGGTTGTTCAACACTAATTTTATTATTTTAGTACACTTCCTAAATCCTATCCGTTATACCAAAGGCTGACATTTTATTCAAAGAATATCATATGAATTGCCAAGTTTCTTGAGAAAGAAATGTTGTGTCATAGTTGTTGTCAAAGCAGATACAACTTTTTTATGTCGTGAGTAAGTGAGAGCAACAGTAATGACCTGAACACAGGCCAAACTGATTTGTTTTTCTTTAAGTGAGCAATGTTCGGGTTTCAAGGTAGCATTCAAAAGATGCTGCAGTGTGTGAAATGTAATTACGTCATAATCTAGCAAGTCGTGTGTGTGTGTGTGTGTGTGTGTGTGTGTGTGTGTGTGTGTGTGTGTGTGTGTGTGTGTGTGTGTGTGTGTGTGTGTGTGTGTGTGTGTGTGTGTGTGTGTGTGTGTGTGTGTGTGTGTGTGTGTGTGTGTGTGTGTGTGTGTGTGTGTGTGTGTGTGTGTGTGTGTGTGTGTGTGTGTGTGTGTGTGTGTGTGTGTGTGTGTGTGTGTGTGTGGGGAACAATAACACAACAGACCCCCAAAATAGGACCCCCGAGCTTGGAATAGTTCCCCAGCCCCGCCAGCCTGGCTGCCCATAACACGTGATTGTGACATGTGTTTCTCGTTTGTTGTATACACACACAAAGACACACACACCCTGCAACAGTCACTCGTCCCAAAATCCATATTGATTGTTCCACCAGAGAATCGACTTTGAGGTCATGTTTCCAAATTAATGTAGGTGTTTTACTAGCAGTGGAAATATGAAGAAGTTGAGAGAGGTTTTTTTTGCCAGTTTTGCCTTGTGAGCAGAGTGTTTCTGTAAAGGCCAGTGTGTCTTTGTTTTGCTCCTGTGTGTGGATTTAATGTAGTTTCCTGGCACAGAGTGACCTCTGCTGGATAGTCAGTCCATCTTCAGGAGACTGAATCAGCAGCACTCTGACTTTTTATATTGGCTCAACATCAACATTCTCTGATGTTTGAGATAAAGCAGTTTACATAGGTGTGAACTCAGTGTGTGGGTGCTTGGTTAATGCTATCTAAACAAATAAAGATTTGCGTCAAAAAACTACCAAATGATGAGACACCACCCCTCTGAAGTGACATTTCTACTGCAGGTTGTGTGTTTTGTGGGAGGCGCAGGAGAAGCAGCATGACTTGAACCCTGCAGCAAGATATAAATATTATTAACAACTAAGAAACAACCACAAGTCACATTGCCATAAATCAGACAGTATTAGACCACTGCACGAAAAATCAGCACAAACCATAGAATAGCCAGATTCAGTTTGATCATTTCTGTTAACACTTTATTATTAATGTGACTCTGATAATCTCCTCCTGTAACAATCAGCTGAAACATTAACTATAGACTGCATGGTTGGAAGTCACTGGCACAATCCCAATGTCCACACTCAAAGACTTACAGGTCCGGGACGCTTTATGGTTACCACCCTTTAAAATTGTCAAGTGCATGAGGGCATTTTAAACCCTTTATGCACACTTTCCACAAGTTCACATTTCTCCAGATTTTGCCCAAGAGAATTGGCCACAATTCAAAGCTTGAGGAGTTTATAACAAGCACATGAAATTGTGAATGCAAGGATAGCTGTGTTACATTCACAGCTAGTTAATTCAACAATAATTTCTGTTTGCTTTATGATGCTGTTTTGAGCAAGCGATTTGATTATTTACCAATTACCATCTTACATCAGTTAAATCCTCAGGGTTCAGGGCTTAAGGACTTAGGGGAGACTTTGACATTAAGCCCCTACACATATCAATGTGTTATCTTCAATATGTCTCCACTAGATGGTGCACGTCTTTCTCTGCTTGGATTTTACACATTCACTGAAATACAATCAAACTACTGAACCTGTGCAGTGAGTTTTGCCAGGTCTTAAAGACAGCCATCATCTGTCCAGTGTCTTCCAGGATACATTATTGTCTTTAAATGTATAATTAAATACCTTTGAACCATGTATAGATTCACTGTAATCAACAAAGACTGTAGACTTAGGATACATCACATTTTCACTAACAAGAAACTCTGAGTGTTATTAAACACTTCTCCATTGTCCTGAAAAAGGGTCAAAGGCAGTGCTACAGTATCTGTCAAGTTTTATTGGTGATACAGTCTTTTCCAGATAAGTGAGGTTATAATGTGAATATGTTGTTAATTAGTCAGGGGAAACAAATAAAAAGGTCTGACAGAGGGCATAGTCAGTCTTTCAGAAGGATGTGTGAACTTATCTGCCTACACTCAGAGCTTCCTGTTTTCAAAAAGCTGAAGTTTTTTGCCTCACTGCATTGTTTACGCTCACTGAAAAGCTGCGACAGAATGCTTACTTTATCAGCACTGAATCTGTCTGTAAAGTTGTGCAATGCCGTATCTAAAGCATACAAACACTTATGCTAACCAGCCCTGGGCTGTCAAATAGTGAGCATCTCTTTAAAATGAATTAATGAAAAACAAAATTTTCCTGTCAGTGTATCTGCAGCTGTGGACTTTCATTTATCATAAGAAGACTGAGATTTAAATAAAAGGTTTATATCACTTTGGTACTGTTTGTCTAGTACACACTCACAAACATCATCGTGAACGCACATGGAAGACACTCCCCCCTGGCGGCTTATTCTCATTACAGACGTTATGTTGTCATAGGAGCCAGCAGCCAGCTGGACTGCAGAAGTCATTTGGCCGGTGGATTTGGTTACACAGCGGCCTCACAAACACCTCATTCTCAGCAAACCTCCACCCCGGCATCTGTTTTCAGCTCCAACATGTTCCTCCAGCACATTGCATAAGGAGGGAGGAGAGCACTTGTGGGAGGGGTGCAAACATGGTAAATCCCTAAATGTCATATTGGAACTTACTGGATGAAATACATAATAGTGAAAAAAAACGTTTTTCAAGAGATTATTGTCAGTCCGTGCCTTTTCTGTCTGTCTGTGTTCAGTCCTCTGAATAATTTAGCCATTATTCCATTAGCCGCGTTCACACCGGAGTACTT